CAATGCGAATCAAAAGATCTCCTGGTATGTTACGGTTGCTTGCATATCTAAGGCAATGCGGTCTGCTGTAGGCATTCMACTATCGAWGCTGCAGAGGCTCGCCTGTGTCTGCGCTTGCCCAACCGCAGCACTAGAAGTAATGCTGGAGCTCATACCGCTGCATCTARAGATCAAACAGTTAGCGAAAGGAAAAACAATGTCCTCTCAATAATTGAAGACCTTAGGGGAAGACACAACACTGGCCCTTCTTCCAAAATGTGGTGTTACGAAGGTTAACTTTACAAAGAAGTTCAGAGTTACTCTCGACAGCAAGGCGGAGTGGAACTACTTCTAAGGGGCAGTACTATCTAGTGATACACTGACGGCTCGAAACACCGTAGGACATTGAAGCAGGCATTGCGGGACCGCATACCAAACTATCCATAACAAAGTAACGTTTTCCGAGTATCTTTCAAGCAGAAGCTTTTGCTATAAGTCAGTGTGCAGTAGCCAGGCGGCATTAAAGACGATCGCAGCGTATGAGGTTAATTATCTGGAGGAGAGTATAGGAAGGCTGAACCGCTTATCAGTTTGCAACCGGGTAGACATAATCTGGCTGCCGTGGCATAAAGAGGTAGACGGCAATGAGCTAGCCGATGAACTAACCCGCTTTGCGCTTTCCAGAATGATCAGGAACCAGAACCACGCATTGCAGTGGGGCAGCATGCTGCTAACAACATGTCAATCTACTTCAGCGAGAGTACAACCTTGCAAGGTTTAAGGAAATGATTAACATGGAACGAAACTCCAGAACACCTGATTCTAGATTGCCCATTTGCAAAAGCAGACTCAAGGCCCTGGGTTCCATCTACGTGGACAGGGATCACATCACCTCAGTCGCCCCCAGCAGCCTCCTGGAATTGCAGTTCGCAGTGCAAAGCCTCAATTTCAGCTATTTCTATGCCAAAAAAGAATCAATGATCTGAGCCCCTGATACTAGCAGCTACGAGCGCACTAGAGACTACAATAGTTAGCTAGGATCATGAGAACCAGAAAAAAACTAAAACTTTATAAGAATTTCATATTGGTAGTATTAAAAGAAAAATATTTGCAAAAACCTCAGACAAGAACCAAATTGTTGATTGGTTTAAAGGTATATCGGAAAATGAKATAAAAAGTAGTTGAAAGAGAAGGTTCAAACATTACTTACTGACTTTATTCATATATGTACATAATATATGTRCTCCAGGTTGATATACTGAATGAAGTTCTTATAGAAACTCTGTTTTTTAACCTGTGATGACACGCTCTTTCAAGTACCAGTATATACAGTGTATATTATACATGCTATGTACATATACATATCACAACATAAACATTCAATCAATTGATAGCAGACATTAATTCAATTAATTACATTGCTATTCAGATTAATTACATTCGAGCAAATAAATAATCAAATTGTATAAGTAATAAGAAACTCAAATTGCCAACACAAAGACACGATAAATGGCTAATGACCAGTCAAAGAGTCACAGGGTCGGTCAAAGCGGCTTTACTAGTATTCGTTTCAATATTGCAGGTCAACCCTTTCGCTGCCAACACACACACACATACACACACATTCTTGGAGGCCCAAACAAATCCTTATTGACAACTTAATAGCTCAATAGCGCTACAATAGCGGACAACGGCTGGAGAATGGCAAATGGGGGGCGTTGAAAGATTATAGCGGTGTGTAAAGTAGTGCGAGTCTCGAAAAGTTTCGCTCGGGAAGCGAAGCGWGCTGCAGCAAATTGAATGACAACTAAGTAAATGAAGTGCTTGCGAGTTGAGAGAATAATGACGCTGACAACGGCGCTGCCGACGCCGCTTTAATAAATTACGCGATCACGTGCCGTGTGGCGGCTTTGCAAATACAAACAATAAAGAAAAAAATATGTAAAAGCTCAAAAAGGTAAAAGAAAACAACTTATTGATGACACGAATGGCATTTTATTTGCAATTGTCAAATAAATATTTTGACAATTAGCGGTCAATGGTGCATGCGCTCGTCGAAGTCTACACTAGCGCAAACATAGCGGGTAAAATGATTGTTTTTGCTTTTGTTTTTGCACAGGTTTTTCCTTTCTCGGTAATTGCTGACGCACATCCTGTCGCTGTACCCCGCTGCACTTACGCTTACTGTCCGGCAAATCTACGGCACGTGGCGCCTGCGTGCCGCTTAATTTTCAAAGTCAATAAAAATTTTGGGAAGAACATTTTTAAAACACACAAAAACAAAAAAAAATGTCGCCAAACATTTCACATTCTTAGCGCTTCATTCGCTTCATTTCAGCACTCCACAACTTGCGCCCTTTTGGATCTTGACCGCTTAATGTTTCCTTAATTTACTGCAGAACTTCATTAACTTAAAACCGGAATTCATTGTAGCACATTTTCCATATTCTCTGAAGCGATCCTTTGGAATTCGCACCCACGCATGCTAACCTGCAACCCTAACCTATGCAGTTAGCATATTATGCTGCCGGCCGAATGGTAGATAGACCGACAATAGCCTAAATATTTACAATTCTGATACGATTTTAATGTGTTCGCCACGCGCCTTGCCCCTGTTTTCACTTCGCACCAGCATTGYTCTTGCCTTGTCAGTTATTCTGTGTCCTTTGTTTGTTTGCTTGTGTCGAGACGTGTGTGGTTCGGTCGCTAAGTGTTCCTGTGTCATGTGTATTATCCTCGAATAACATACTTTTCCCTCTACTTTCCCCTTTTGGTACGGGTCGTTTGTTATTTTCTATTTGGTTGTTTGTTTTCTTTGTGTTTTTTGAACTTTTATTCCTTGTCGTTGTTGTCCACTCTGGCAAAGAGTTAATGGTCCAGAACGTGTAAGTGAATGACCTCTCGTGACCAGCTGGAYAGGGGTCAGTGTTTTTGTGCTTACTGTTTGGCTAATCTGTATAAACATATTGTATGTAGATTCTATTGGGTTTCATATAAAAATATTTTAAGTTGAGAATTAGGTTAATTAGATTACAAAACTATAATTTTTGACATACTGACTTTTAAAGATTTTTGAACTGAAAAATATGTATGGTCAYTTTCGAATTGACAAGCTGAGTATGTCTGCAAAAAAAATAAAAAAGTTCAAAAATTTAATTTCGAATTTTGAGCTGTCTCTTATACACATCTAGTTTCGAATTGACAAGCTGAGTATGTCTGCAAAAAAAATAAAAAAGTTCAAAAATTTAATTTCGAATTTAGAAATTTCGAAATCAGCTGTTCACCAGCGCTTAGTGAGAGTCCAGTTTCTAAACTTGGAATCAAAATAATTTTAGTTTTAATTTCAAATAATAATAATAACTTAATTTCACATTCGAAATTTGGTAACCAAAAAAACCGTTTCAAAAACTCTCGGTTTTATTTCGATTTTCGATAAGTATATAGTTTTCCAATTTCTAAYTWAATGAATAAAATTCTGAATTTTTCMGGAAAAATATAAACACGTTAATTTTCAATACTCTCTATAAGCTAACTAAGCAGCTGGATCGTGTTCAAAGAGCGATCCTATTCGGCAACAGTAGTCCGCTAAGGACTACCCCAACAAAGCCACTTAATACCTTTCTATACATTTCACTTATAACCAGAGTTGGTTTAAGCTTGGCGCGAATTCTGCTCTTAGACTTAGGGAATCTGGGTACATGAGRGACTCCGGACATGRACATTYGGGCTTGTTGTTGTTGTAGCGRCAGAAATCTGCCGAGTTGACAGTTTTTGTTCGAATAAAAATCCGGGTCCGATCCTTTCACGTAGATCCGACTGTTGTTGGAACGGCAATGCTTCGTTTGCATTCCTTCCGACCTAGATCAATGAACCCCCCGAAACCTCAGCTGATGATTCGAGGTTTATGAAGAGAGTAGGTAATAGAGTCATTTGTCGAGAGCTCTCGGTCAAATACACTTTCAGATTTCCAGACTACTTTCCTGCCTTTCGAGCGAAGGTCGCTGTCATCAAGGCGACATACTATTTCGAAGTTCAGCTATTTCAGATAGGTATGCATGCCCTCCGACAGCCGAGCGGTTATACTGAATTAGAGCTCGTTTACTGTACGTTCACAAATGTCAAGGAGCGCATGAACTCATTAGCAAAAGCTTCAAGCTTCTTCCATATAAGATAAGTTCCGGGTGGAGCTGACTAGTTAGAATACCGTTTCTTCAGTTTTATCTATTTGGAGTCGAGTCGGTTGTTGTTGTTATGTCGGCAGAATTCTATCGAGTTGACCGTCCTTTGCGGGTAAAAATCCGGGTTCGTTCCGGTTACATAGACCCGAACTGTCTCCGGTGTCTGCTTGCATTGTGGCGTTTGACTTAACGACCAGAACTTGTGCGACTGMGAGATCCTCCTGGCCCAGAGTGAACCGTAGTAAGTCATTTGAACTACCAGCTCTCAGAAAAGTCAATCTCGGCATAATTATCGGTTTACACAAGTCAGTCTCAACACTCAATGGGTTTACATGCGGTSCTGCTAAATATTTTTTCGGACGTTCTTTGTCAAAGTTATATGGAGAAAGGCGCATTGGAATCATCTTATCACTTTCTTCTCTATTTGCCAGCTTTTGGCAGACTGATACACATTTGGAGAACCTGGCGACCTTTCTAGGATTGATATTAACCGTCTTAATAAATTTGTGGTAGGCACAAAAAGTTTSTTCAATCTGGTGATCCTTTTTAGAAGTTTATGAGTAACGCAAAAACGAATATCTCGCTAAATGATATTTATCGATTTCGAAACAATTTCTTTTTTTACTTCTGAGGACTATGAAAACTAAACGAATGAAATGTKGCGAAATTTGGGTTTTGACAAAATAGACCGCATTCTTCTATAAGAGAATCTGAAAAATACTCGATAAATTTAGAATTCKACAAGTTCGGTTAGAGAATAAATTACTTAAAATGGAGAGATGTTTTATACAATTGCCGACCAAACCTTTCAAAATACTTAAGTTGAGAATATCATTTGCTTACCTTGAAAGTAACTTTTTGTTCTTAAATAACTAACAGACAGCCTTAAAATGCTCAGTCGATCCAATTTGCTGAGAATATTCTGTTCGAATGGCAGCAGCGAGGCCAGCAAATCCAATTCGGCGTTGAGACGTTCGCGATGGCGTTTCGATGGATTACTTTTGGTGACGCCATCCTTGGGCGGTGGCTTTAAACTGCAAGCAAAATAAAGAGAGAAAGAGGGTATACATATTTTATTGAAAACAAAATTAAATCGATTACATAATCAGTTATACGAAAAAAAATCAAAACAAAAATACACAAATTATAGGCAAGTGGAGGAAAGTGGAGCTTTAAACTTTCTATTTTAATGTTTCTTCCTCAACAATGATTGAAATCGTAAATAAAATATGTGCGAAAATTTRAAAAGATATAGAAAACTTTTAAAACAAACAAGGAAATTAAAGCATTACGTAGTAAAAATATTTTTTGAGGATTTAACTATTAATATTCTAAAGGAAGAATTAGGCGGCTAACAGCTGTCCTACCAACAAATATGTAAGCAACCAAAATTAAAATTGGAAATKTTTCAACGGGAAAAGCACACATGGATGTATTTGATTCCACTTCCTTTGCGTCATTGCCCTCGATTAAACGCTTTAATGAGAATAGTATAGAGAATTGGGCTGCTTGCAGATGACGCGGACAATATGGTCAAGCGGATCAAGAGTAGTACGGTGAGGAGGAGGGTTGCAGCAAGGATGAGTAGCATATATAATTAATAATAGCATTTATTACCGTCATCGATTACGCGCCAGCGGGAAAAAAGGTCAGTCCGCCTTGACGCACGACGCAGGCGGCGCATACTTGGTGCCGAGCATGTCAAGAGTGCTGCCAAGAGCTTGTGGTTGGCTGATTGGTTCGCTACTTGTAGAGCAGCTTGTAAAGCAGGGATAAGAGCATTTTAATTTGTGTAAATCGCAGATATTGACTGAACCACCCTTGGCAGGRCACAGCTACACTACAATATTCTCAATGCGTAACTACAGAGCATAGCAAACATAAAAATAACAAGAACGCTTACAAATGATATCGCAGWGGAAACGAAATGTAGACACATAAGTCTGGGGTTAGAATCGATTAGCCATGCCCACTTGATCCCATARTTATAAATGTTGGGAGGGGAGAAGGGGTGCTATCAGTGGCATGAGCAAGCGAAAACAAAGTAGCAAAATAATAAGAAGACGCCGCTAACCAAGGAGTAGACACATGAACTGGTGAGAGAAGTTCGCAAAGAAACTGAGCAAGGCAAATAAAAATTGCTTTACAAAATATCGGGAGTTTTGTGGGTCTACGGCGAGCTGGCGCTGCTATCCGACAGTTGGCAATGAGTTTTGCAGAAAAACAATGCTTACTGTGTGAAATCAATAGACAGATAGACAGTGTGGAAGTCAGCTCTGGTACGATTCCAAAGCCGAAAGCGCGGAAAGGAAACGAAAGAAAAACTTTAATGAGGTAAAATGTGAGAAACGATAATTTCGGAGAAGTAAAACGGTTGTACGTTGTACTTACTTACATACATACGTGTATAAATAAATAAATACATACATATGTATAAGAACAGTATATGTAAGTATGTATACCGCTGTGCTTGTTTTTGTAAATTTATAAGTCAGTAAGGTAGCTTATAAATATTTTATGCTAAAGGTAATTGCGAGTATTGTTTAGTAGCAGCAATTTAATAGCCAACATATGTAATTGAAAAATTACCGCCTCAATTCTTTTTTGAAAAAGTAGAGTTCTAAATTCAGTGCCCTAGACTGGATAAAAATGTTAAAGAAAATGTCATACAAATTTGAAATTTTTGTGATTTCTGCTTTGTTACTATAAGAAGGACTGTCCAATAAATGAAATAATATTAAAAAATATTTGTCGAGTTTTGTTCGAAAGAAAAGTCATTCCTTATTTATATAATGTACAATATAATGGCGAATCGAACAAACTACTGGAGTAAATCTCATAAACTGGTATGAATTTCATAAACTGATATGAAGTATAAAATCTCTTGTTTTCTTKGATCAGATGATTGGAAGCAATTCGAAAAGGTTCCCAACTTTTTTAAAGAAACAACAYAGAAACTTCAAATATGATGGAGAATGTTTATTATCATTCCTTGRCATTGATTTTTCGAAGATTATCTCTTTGAAATGTTGGGCGCGGCTACGTTTCAGATGGTTCATGCGTTGAGTCTAATTTTCGATAACTCGTTCGATCATTTCAACTTGTAACTAGCGAATGACACGCGTGATGTTTTGCTCCAAGCCCTGAATCGGAGTGGGATTGTCCGCATTGATTATAAACTTTACATATTCCAACAGGAAAAAGTGTAAMGTTGTGATATCATACGATATATTTGGCCAATCGACCGCTCTTAAACGTGAAATTATCTGCTCACCGAAGTGTTATCTCAATAAATCCATTGATTGATGCCATTTTTTTGAAATAAGCCTCATCACTGAACAAAATTCAGCTCGAAAAAATCGGATATCCTTGAAACTTTTCTAGAACCCATAGAGCGAAACGATGTCGCTTGGGAAGGTCGAGCGGCTTCCGTYCATGCACAAGCTGTATTTTATACGCTTTTAATATAAGATCTCGATGCGCCAAGTCGTTACATACGTCAGTCTGAGTTGCTGCAAACGGCGCCGAATCAACTCTCCACGGTCTTCGTGTACACTCTCAGCTATAGTTCCTATATTTTCTTCTGCTTGAACGATTTGTGTACTTTTTTTTAAACGTAAGTCTTTCAATGATGAAATGCCAAACAATTCTGAACAATAATATTATGACAGCTTGGCACKACTCACGCGTGATCTRCCAAAAAATRACTATTGAAAAAGTACCMCTACTTGGATCACCCGTTACTTTTTTAAATGGMTTTACTATAAGGATATAATTCATAGAGTTATTCAACTAAAATATTTACTCCAAAAGTGTTCTTAACTTTTCAATGATTACCTTACAATTAGGACGGTAGGCAGAGCATACCAAGGGAAATGATGCATGTTGGAATGCGATTGTGATATTCATACATATGTATGTAGGATATGTATATACTACATATCAGCAGAGATTTCGAACCACCATACACTCCACATGTGCACACACACATACACCCATAATAGAGTAAGTAAAAAATTGAAAAATTGTATTGAAGAAAGTAGCAAATCAATGCAATTTATTTAATTAAATGAAAAAACGTGATCAAATGAAAATTAATASCATTGCAGCAAGATCGACAATAATTTTACAGTTCGGAAAGAAACCAATTCGTAGAATTACTGTATTTGCGCCACAAAGTCATAAAGGTTAAAACAAATGCAAAATTGATACTTRGTTGCCACTAAAGTGAGGTAAAAGACAATAATTGCCAAATGAATGGGCGAAAGACGAGATTAGATAATTTCAGTGCAGAGGAAAGACAGAAGAGCTGGGAATGCTAATGCACGCACACACGCATACAGACACTTGTATGAAAGCAATAATAATAAGATAAGCCGAGCAAAAGTGAAGTTAAATGGTAATTGTGGGTTATCAGCTGTTGGAGAGTCGGTAAACCGTTAGCTAATTGAGAAAACTCATTGTGTGCCAAATGAAGCCGGTWGTTGTGATGAGATTCACAGAGAGAATGTAAGGCTTGAGATTTGATTTACTTTACGTTCCATAATTTAAAAAGCCGTTTCTTATTGCAATATTCTTCAGACAACAATGGATAACCCTTAAATAAGGTTAGSTCGTCTTAGAGACTTATTTTCAAAGATTCCATACCTAAAAACTAGTAATGAAGCTGTAGCAACACTCGAGTATCCGTTACCGTGGACTCGAATTAAATCTGGTTAACATAAATATTGGGTAAATATTCAATATTTTATATGTATGTACATAATATTTATGGACTTACGAAAGTTTAGTTCAGTATCTAAACAGATCGTACGGTAACTCGGATTCTATTTATCAAGTATGGAGAATGGATATTCACTATGCGCCATATCTTTGAAAAAACCCGTGCAAAGAGAATTGACACACACCACAGCTTCGTCGATTTCAMAGCTGCTTTTGACTRCATGAAAAGGAGCTGGCTTTATAGTGATATGTCTAAATTTGATATCGCCTCAAAACGAATATGGCTGTGTAAACTRRTATAGACCAAGAYCAAAAGCGATTCGATACAAAACGAAGTTTTAGACAAGGCGAGCCTCTATCTGCGACTTCTTCAATCTACTGCTGGAGAAAAAAATTCGAACTGCAGAGCTGAATCGAGAAGGCACAATCTTTTATAAGAGTGTACAGCTGCTGTCTTATGCTGATAATATTGATATCAATGGCCTCATCATCCGCGCCGTTAGTTCTGCTTTCTCCAGACTGGATAAGAAAACGAAGCAAATGGGTCTGGTAGTGAACGAGGGACGACGAAGTATCTCTCRTCATCAAACAGTCGTCGCACTCGCGACTTGGCTCCCATGTCACTATTGACAATCATAACTTAGAAATCGTAGATAATTTCGTTTATCTTAGAACCAATATTAACACCGTCGATCTTCAACGAAGAATAGCTCTTCCCAACAGATGCTACATCGGACTGAGTAGACAATTGAGAGGACAAGTCCTCTCTCAACGAACAAAGACAAAATTCTACAAGTCACTGATCATTCCCGCCCTGCTATTTAGTGCAGAAACATGGACGATGACAAGAACTGATGAGTAGACGTGTACGAGATGTACATATGACGACATTGACATAGTTCAACGAATCCAGAGACAGCTGCCACGCTGGCTAGGACGTGTCCAGCTTTGAGAGTATTCGACTTAGYACCCGCCAGGGGAAACRTAAGAAGACGGTGAACTTCACTCCTATGTAGAATAGTTCAAACCCGCTCTTATAACGATAATTTTGAAAAATGTAAGAAATATTCCACCTGAAGCACGAAGAATAGTAAATCATTTAAAATTATACAAAATACAGCACAGGTGATAATCGTAAAGATATTTATGCTCAAGCTTTCTACTTCGATACGACTGAATATTACTTAGTAAGAATTCCAATATTTTTTTACATTCAATAATAGTCAGACTTCTTCCCTAATATCCTAACACATTTCCAATAATCGTTTATTTATCTCCACAAACTGCCAGGCACTCCTCAAAAATATTGCCG